ATATATATATATATATATATATATGTTTTAGCTCGACCATCGTAATGACATTTATCTAAGTTCATTTATCTTAATGACATTAGTTTTATGTAAATACGAAAATAAAAAGTAAAAAAATAATTTTAATATTTCAGTTAGTAGTGGTTGATAGCATCGGTGGTGGTGGATGGCAATGTCATTGAGGGCCATAGGTGATTATTATGGATGAAGAGAGTGGTGGTAAGATGTGAGGGTTACTCGACAACTGTATTGATGTTGACGTCGACACAGTTACTAAGCGACCCTTTCATCGCTCTACGTTTGTGTTGGCGTCAATATAATTACTGAGCAACGAAAGGGTCATCAATGCTAATGTTAAGTAGTGTTGCTCGAAAATTATGTCGACAGTTCTTTCGTCGCTTGACAACTACGTCGATATTAACGCAGATGCATAACGGTTTTCACCTCTCGTCACCATTATTTTTATCCACAACCACCCATGACTCCTAACGATATTGTCGTCCACCACCACAAATGTCGTTCGCCACCACCGAATATATATATATATATATATATATATATATGTTTTAGCTCGACCATCGTATGTGACTCGTTAACTTATCGTTTAATTTCTTACAATATATGAAGGCTTCATGGCGAGAGTACCTGTGACCTCACAATGGCCGCGCAGCTCATCGAGGAGGACATGCAGCAGGGTTCCCATGATGCCTTGTTGAGGTGGACTCCAAGGAACAGGCCCTTGCAAACTGGTTTGATTTGTCATACGCCATGTTACCATCAGATGCAAGCAGCTAACAGATGTATCATTCCTTCCTCCACATCCGTTGGTTGTTTTTGTAGTGCTTACGTATGCCTTCTGTTTCCATCTTGAAGTTGGAATGCTGCTTCCAGTTAGTTCAGCTAATCAAGGGAGCAAGAGTCAGCAGACATGGAGTACACGGCTTTCTGTTGCAGGGTTTGAATTGCTTAGCAACTTCAAACTCTGAGGAGCTGTAGTTCGTTCATCTTGACATCTTATACTCAGTAGTCCGACTCCTGCCATAATCCATGCAGCTCAAAGCTGAAGTCATGAAGATAGATCCAAAATGATGAACCACTCGACGAGACAATTATGGGTTTAATTTCTAACCTGGGGATCAAGAAATAGTGATGGCAAAATCCTTCTCGTGGTAAATAATAGCACACAGAGTCGGAGTTCAGATTGAGAGGAAGAAGATGAACACAGTCCACTCTTACTTCTCAGCTTAAATCTAAAAACGACAGCACAGATACTGAGATGGTAAGTGTAAGAGGATCTATAAATGAAGCATCATTCACAAACTGATTTGGTCTAAAAGGCTATATAACATGGATCCAAAGAGCAAAACCATCAAAGAATTATGGAAAATAACAAAAATATAATGATTATATGGACATTTAAAAAAGAAAACTACAACTCAACCGAAAAAGGTTTCTTGAGAAATACAAACTGAAAATTGTACGTGACCAGCAAGCATCGAAGAAAGCCTCTTTGCTTGCTAGTGAACTTAATATATAAATACAGTGGCCTGAGCGTCGATGAATCAAAAGAGTGCAAAAAGGAATGTCAAAAGGGTCCAATCAAATCACAACATACTCTTGTTTGGACGAATATACTGTTGTTCATTCCTTGTTCTGTCGGTGTATCAGAACCTAGGGGAGCTTGTGGATACCCTCATCCGTGCAACTCCTGACATGAATGCAGTACGCTTTTGCCGTAAGTACACAACTGACCCACTTATAAGCAACAACCCCAACATGATCACCTGCCAGCACAGGAAAGAGGATATTAGATGGTTCTACATGTGAAAAACCAACATTCAATTGTAGAATTGTTCTCAAATATGTCAGGATGATGCAAAGCAGAAGCTACCATTATATAACAGGTATCTTGAAGATTGTGTAGAAGAAATAGCACTTTGGCAGTATGGATCAAATTTCATCAATATTTGACAGAGATATTCAATGTATTGACCTCCAAAGCAGCTTGTATCATGTGTAGTAGACATTATGCTATCGATATTGGGACTGAGTACCACTAAGTTCAAATAACATAGTTTGATGATGAAAAAAAGGGTGTCCAGGTAAATCCAAAAACATGGTATTGTGGGGTCAGAGAAACTTGCTTATGGTTGCTAAATCTTGCTATCCTTGGCCATACTCATTGCTTTCCCAAATAATGTAAAGCGTACAAGGCATATAAATACCACCAATGACCTTCTGTGCTTCATCTATTCAAGCTTGATGTTCCATTTTTCATCAAAATCTACACTGAGAAATTAAATCAGCACCAGCAAGCCAAGCTGGCAGTAGGGCTCTTCCTCATGCAAATGATGTTCAAGCAGCTTTCCATGTCCCAGAGGGTTTCTTACTCACCTTTCTAATGTCCCAAGGGTTTCTTAGACACCTTTCTATTACTTGATCTTTGGAGGCATACTTTGACAAGACACTTGAGGTAGGACAACCAAGTCTCTTTACCCAGTCATAAAAATTTAAAAGAAGCTCCAAATCTCTTAAAGTTAATCAAATATAAACTAGTTATGTTATGGATACATGATGGTTAATACTTAATATTATGCAAGGGCATTGAACAAATTTGTTTTATAATCAGAAGAAACTGGAGAATAATTATTATCCTTAACAATAGACAGGGAATTTGCTTCCATATCAATAATCATAAGCTCTATAATCATAAATTTTCTCTTCCTAGGATGGCCGGAGATCATCTAAAATTGATCTACAAGAGACAGAATTCCGAAAGAAACCCCGATAGCAAAGTATCCTACTACAGCAAGGTTCCACTAGTTTACTTTCATTTATAATCTTTACATATTTTGGCCTAGTTATCATTTATAATCTTTACATATTTTGTGACAGGGAACTCCACAATAATTACACTTCTCAAACAACAATATGATTTAAAAAAAACTGGTAAATGATCACTTTAGACCAAAGCAAATCAAAATTCTAAAAGTGCACTGAGGGCCAAGGGAGCTGCTAGAACCTAAGCAGAAAAGTGCTCTTTGATGTGATAAACTGCCAATTAACATCATTCATTTGTTTTAATATGCAGGAGAACATGACAGATGAGTTCTCCCACCCAATCTTTAGAGCCATGTTATCTAAGAAGGCACAATATCAAAGAGGATAAAGTGTAATTCCAGTGGAACAGACCATCTATGTCTCCTAAAGAAAATTCCTATAAAATAGAAGGGCTGAGTTTTTAAGAAGTTCTAATGCCAATACAACTTCTTGACCACAAAACTGTAGTAAGGCCTCAGGATTGATAGTCACACAAGTTCAACACCCATTTACTTTAGGGTAGATACAATCCTTTTCATTTAATTAGGGGATACTATTCTCTCCAAGACTGTCTTCTGATACTTTAAATGTTAAACACTTAACTGGCTTCACCATGTTATTAAATTGTCGTTCTATTTTTCACCATAAATTATTTATTTACTAATCAGGATAACTTTTATTTACTCTCTTCAGGCTAGCGATCTGAGGCTGTGGATGTTCAATGTTCACGACACTCTTACATATATAAAAGGACCCACCTGCATTATAAGTACAAAACTGGTTCTAAACAACAAAAGCAAAAAAGGACCAGTGAAAGCCATAAAAGCATTTTTCTAAATAAAATATTGTGGTACCACTGTAACTTCCATACCTCGAAACCAAGGACAGACAACTTCTCATTGCTATCAACTGGCACACAGCTCCTATAAGTAATATAGTTTTCTTCCTCGTTCTCCAATTTTGATGATTCGGCCAACAGTTTTCTCCATTTGTAGTTACTTATCGTAATAAGCAGTCTTTTTTGCACTCCTGATGCATGTTCTTGAAGGTATAAGAGGCTTCTTCGGGTTCTGAGCCTACTTGCCTCCTCTGTTCCATCTTTTATTTGTACACATTTCAAAGGCACCCGATAGCCAGTTTCACTGCAGCGATATTTGTCATCATTCTACATTCAACAAATTTAGAGTCAATGTAAGCATAAGAAAACAAAAGGAATGTTTTTTCTTAGAAAAAAAATAGATTTTGCAAATGGGTAGCATGAACCATGGTAAGAACAAGAAACTATGCATATGATTTGTATGAACTGGTGCACACAAGCTAATTTAGCAGGTGCCAGGTGAAAAATGTGACACAAAGAAAGAGGAATATGCAATGAGATCTGACGTTTACCCATCCCTCTGGGAGGCCATAATTCCATACTGTGCAGGAAAAGAATCACAACTTTGTAGTAGTTTTTAGTACCCTCTACTTCATATTCACCAAAAGGCACCAAATTGCTACCAGAACATTTAGTTCTGTTCTCCTTTGAAGAGTAAATACGCTGGACAAACCATTGCATATCTTCTTTGAGTGTGTTAATTGAATTTGTTTCATGTTATGAATTAATTAACCAAGGAGGCAGCACGACAAGGTAACTCGCTGAAGGACGGAATATCCTTGACAGCATTCCGCCGGGACACAAACAAGAATTGTGTCCTCTTTCTTCTATTTCAACTAATAATCGGCTTGACATGTTAAGAAGCGACCGATTAAATAGGGAGTATAAGTTGTAGTTGGGGGAAGGAAACGAAGAGGCACCTTCTCGGAGTACTGGCAGGGGAGGCAGAGACCAGAGGGAGAGCAACGGAAGGAGGCGTTCCCCTTGGCTTCTTGGACGCTTAGCAGAAGTCGGCATCCCCTCACTCCTCCTTCGGCGGCGCTACCATCCCCACCTTCTCCATCCGCCGCTTCCCCGCGCGCCGTCGGGATCGAACACCAGGACAACGTCAAGACCAACACCCCAATCGCCGGCCACCGCCTCACGACCACCGCCGAGTCGTGAGATCCCATCGCTCCCTCCCTCGACTTGCCGGGCCCACCGAGCATCCTTCCTGTGTTGCCCATAGTTTGGTCACGTTTCAGATACTACCGGATCCGGAGCTCATGCGGGTCGGATCCATATCCCCTCACAGCTAAACCCTAAAAGGATATTTAGTAGACCACATCAGTCCAAATAATACCACTGCTGTTATCTACCGTGATCACAATTTTGGAAAAAGAAATTAGAGATTATATGGATCTTTTCTGGTTATTAATAAGATTTCTATGTGCACATATGTCTCTTTTTGCTAAGATAGTTGTGTGTCAGCCCACTGTTTCTTGACGATTGATCTCCCTATCAGAGCTGCTATCTCTAAAAACACAATAGCAGAAAACTACCTTCAGCTAATCGTGCATTTAGATCAACCATCATGGGAGGCCTCAATCTAGTGGTATGAATTCTCTCTCAAACAAAGGGGCTAATTCAAGTGACCACCAAGCTCTGAAGTGAAAGTGATTGCAGCTGTTTGATTAAATGTCATGAGCACCTTATCCGAACATCAACCGCATTAACGTTTTATGTCTGCTAGAATTCATTCATCCTGGACTCCTCTCTCTGTCAATTGGTGCTTACAATTCAATTGAAGAAACTCTCTATTAAGCGAAACAAGGAGAAGCCTACATTGACATGTAGGATGTTTTCAGTCCTAAAACGAGAATGCACAGAAATAATTAATACCTAATTTATGGGAAATAATGCTGGTAAGTTTTCTCCCATAATACCTGATTTCCCTGTGGCTTCTGGTACCAGGAGCTTCACTTTTTACCAATAGAATGAAACTGGTGAGCAAAAATTGAAGGAACGCAACCAAAAGGTAATCTACAGATGTGGTCATCTGAAAGGGAGTGTATACAACATGCAATTACTCAAAATATACAAGCAGCACAATGAAATGTTGGCATGTGAAAGTTTACACACCCAAAATTACCAGCAAATTTTTAAGTAGCAGGATCATGACATGCCTGAACCATCAAATTCTTAAAACATTCATGCACTCCAGTTTTGATCATCATTTGCACCTATAAGACACCCCATACTTCATGTGAGATCATTTTCATCTAAAACTTCTTCCTCGGCCTCTTCTTTATTAAGCTCTTTCAGATCCCCAGTAGGCAATTTCCTTGCAAGCCTGATTATCTGCATAATCATTTCAGTAAAATCTAGTCATGCTGATTACAAGCTTCAAAACAAAAACTATCTTCACATATACTGCAGACATTGCAATGATATCTATTATGAAGACATTGACCAAACAGCTTAGTTACACGAGTGAAGTATCTGAAACGTAGAATGCAATATGATCATACACGAGTGAAGTGGAGAAGAACTCGAATTTCCACTAACAAAACTAATCAATGAAAGGGATATAAGCGTAGGAAAGTTGGTAGTGTGGAGTTCAACTGAATCAGGAAGAAGATAAAAGATATCATTTGAAGTCTAAGCAGTTAGCCGGATAAACATCGAAAGTATGTTCTGATTGTCCTGATTTCATGTAGCCAAGAAGCAAGGTGGCCAAAACCAAGGTTTGTAATTTCGTACCGTACCGGAGTTTCGAGTTCAACTCGGTACGGTACGAGTATATATACATATATATATATATATATACATATATATATATATATATATAAAATAATAATAATAATAATAAAAGTTAAAAAATAAAAAAAAGGGGCAATGACGTCGCGTCGTTTCTTCTCCCCACGTGGGGAGAAGAAAACCTCGAAGCCTTCGTGACGTCGCAAAGGTTTCTTCGCGGGAAGTTTTTTCTCCCTGCGAAGCCTCGGCAACGTTGCCAAGGTTTCTTCTCCCCACGCCGAAGCTTCTTCTCTCCGTGCGGATTAGGAAAAGTCGTCGATGATGCCGAGGTCTCCCTGTGAAGCCTCGACAACGTCACCGAGGTTTCTTCTCCCCGTGCTGTCACGGAATTAGCTGGAATTGCCTAAGTCGTAAGGCACCCTTATGGCAAAGTCACAAACTTAGCTGAAATTGCTTAAGTCGTGAAGTGCCCTTGCACCAACTCCTCGGACTTAGTTGGGATTGCCTAAGTCATGAGGCGCCCTTACGACATATGCATCCGCAAATGTTCAGCTTAGTTACAACCTCGTACAGGTCCTGAAGGACTTGTAAAACAGAAAGTTGATAAGATTGAAAACGAGCGACGGACAAGTCTCGACGTCTCGTGAAGAGGGAAGCTTTACAAATAATTCAGCAAGCACCTTGAGTGCAAGAGAGAAAAGAGACGAATGAAAAACTAAGGACTTTAGAAGGTAGAACGAACAGTTATAAGTCCACAAACAACTGCTCATCGGGTGCCGGGCGCGAAGGCAAATTCCTGTCAAGTTAACGTGTGAACTTGTGAAGATTTTTCAACGCCTGACAATGTACCGAAGCCCCATCTAGCCCTGTGCCACCCGGGGAGTTCCAGGATGCTGAGATGGCCGACGTTTTGGTGTGTTGCTGCGGCTTGCAGAAAACAAGCCATGGCACGTGAAAACAGAGCCATTTTATGGCATTTCGGCCCGGCACGACGAGCGGTCGCACTACAGTGTTGCAACTTGTTCGAACATACATTTTTATAAGCAAAAACACACAAAACTAAGGCAAAACAGGCTGCCATGTCTCTGTACAAGCATGCAAAAGCGATGAACGATTCGTTGAACGAAGTTGTTGTGAGTGTACGACGACCGTTTATGACATTCTCCCCCACTTAAACTGTCGATGCGCTCGTCAAAGCTTGTTGGTAGTTGTTGATGACTGCTTCTTCATGTCGTAGGGCGTCTTCGAGCTCCCAACTAGCTTCAGTTCGGGGAAGCTTTCGCCACTTCACCAAGTACTCGGTCTGCTCAGCTCCATTGGGTAGCTTTATCTTGCGATCCGCTAAAATGGTTTCAATTTATTTTTCGTATGAGGCTCTAGTGGGGGGTAGCCGAGTTGG